GAGGAGGAGGAGGAGGAGGAGGAGGAGGAGGAGGAGGAGGAGGAGGAGGAGGAGGACGAGGGAAGTAAGAGTCCCGAAGTGGCCCTGAGGCGTCACCGGATTCCAGCTGCCACGCTATCCGCCAACGTTCACGCCGGGGCCGCCCCTCTGCCCGGCACGAGGCAGGAGGGGAAAAGACACAGACATAATTAATCGTAAATTCCAAAGAAAATATAGGAAAATATGGGAGGTGGGGGGGAAGACAAAAGCCCAGAAAATATGGGAAGATATGGGGATTTTTTTCATCTGCGTGTATTTATTTGTGTCTTCACTAATTATCTGGCTTTGCGCCCCATTGCCTATTGACACGCCCTCTGGACTTTTCATTGCGGGCCGCCGAACAACAAGTATTTATTTGTGTGTCCTGGGGCCCCTTCAACGAGGTGATGAGCCGCAGAGTCCGAGACACAGAGCCCCAGAAGAGAGGAGGCGGCCAAGCCGGTGCTGGGAGGAGGGGCCGGTGCCGGACGTGTGACAGCACCTCGCGCACGACACCTGCGGGGCGGCGCACAACCCGGGCTTCCGTTCTCGGCCACGACCCCGAGAGGATTTGCTGCTCAGCGGTGGGCTACTTCCACGGCTCAAGGCGAGAAGCCCTGTCGTGTAGCACGAGGGGGTGGGGACACTGTAGAGACGTAGTATGTATAGCATGTGAGGGTGCGCCGCGCTCAGAGCGATGGCTCCTCAGAGCTCTGGGAAGCCCCGACCTTGGCCATCCCAGTGCGGGCCGGCTTTGGTGGAGCGCGCGCGGCGTTTCCGGAGGCTCGCCCAACTGGCGGCAGCCGTGCACTGCGCGCGAGTAGTGGGGTATTGCAGTGGCTACGCTCAGTTTGGGGTTCTCTGGGCACGGTCTGGTTGGGAGAGAACTCATGCGGAGCAGGCCGGCGGGAGAACAGCGGGCGAAGCATTTCGCAGCCTGGCAGCTGCTCGGTTGCTGCCGCCCGAGAGGGCGACCGTCTTTCATGGTGGCGCGTGATTCTTTTGGTAAGTGCAAGTAGCGGTGCCGTAAGTCACACTCATGTTCACTATCCGTCGCTGCGTCATGTCGTACGTGCATGATCGTGCGCAGCACGCTCGTCCGTATGCCGCCCTGTCGTTCGGTTTCACGAGCGTTGGCGGGACAGTGGGTGACTGGCGACGAGATACGTTCCCAGGTCCCAGGTGGACTACTGTCTTCCGAATCGCCATCCAGACCTCGGGTGCGCAGGTCAGAGAAGGGCCAGTGTTGTATCTCGAGGACACCTGTTGACGCACAAGGCCCACGGGCCCTGGGAGGTGCGCTGGTGCATGGTCTTGCAGTTCACACCTGCGGGTCGCGCGCATGCCCATGTCAGATGGGGGAAAGGTCAAGCGAGGGAGGAACGGCTTCAGGACATCGCGGCGGAGCTCTCGTTGGACGAGGCGGACCTGAAGGCGAGTCCCCCTCCATGGCCCAAGCCTGGCTTGGGGGCTGACCCACCTCGGAGGCCTAGAGGTTAACACCAACACCAGTCTCGGCGGTGTGCCTTAGCCGAGGGAAGACGATCCCGATCTTGGTAATGGTGGTAATCTTCGGGCGTCTAGCTGGCCGAAATATTATCGCCAACACCGAAATCTAGGATCATCTTCCCTGGTGGAGGCAGCCACCCCCTGTGTTGATGTTGGTGCCCATTTCCAAGCGTCCAACCACCGCCTCCCTGCCAGCCTTCCACCTGCCCTCTCGTCCCCCTCCGGTCGGAGACGTCGAAGTCGGTGCACATGGGCCTCGCCGTGCTCCCGAGGTGCTCCGAGTTGCTTGGTGGTCATGGCTGCTGTGCGCAGGGGCCTTGCCGTGCTGACGATTTCGAGCGGGCTGCAGTCTGAGGGCTGGTGGGGCTCCTCCCTGGCCATCCAAGAGAAAAACGGAATACGCAAACTTTCAGAGCTCCGCGCGGATCTCTTGGATCGGCGCTGGGCCCCCTTGGCGGCGCCGCTGGCGCCGCCCCTGGCGCCGCCCCTGGCGCACTCGTCAGGAAGGGGGCTCAGCGCTGATCCAGGAAATCTGCGCGGAGCTCCAAAAGCATATATCTATGCAGTTTCCTGTTCCTCTATGGTGGGGCTCCTCCCGGGCCACCCTCAGCGGGTGACAGGAGCTCGCGGGTGTGCGGCGGTGGCTGCCCCCGGCTGTCAAAGGTCAAGACCAGTCACCGCGCCGCGTGCCCGGTTGTTCGGCCAGTCCCAGACTCAGCATCGTCGAAACGATTCCCATCCCCACCAGGCCATGGGTTTCTCAGCCCCACCAGCACACTGCCCCGGGTGGAGGACACACCCACACCATCACACCCACACCCACAGCCACCCCCACAGCCGCACCCACACCCAGACCCACACCCACACCCACACCCACGCCCACACACACACCCACACCCACACCCACACACCCACACACCCACACACCCACACACCCACATACCCAAAGACCCACAGACCCACACACCTGCACACCCACACACGCACACCCACACACACACACACCCACACCCACACCCACACCCACACCGACTCCCACACGCGCACACACACCCACACACACACCCACACGCACACCCACACACCCACGCACCCACACACACGTGCAGACACACACACACACCCACCCACCCACCCACACATACACACCCACACCCAAACACACGCGAACATACACCAGCACACACAAAAGCACCGAAACCCACAGACACGCGTACATACACGCACCCACACCCACACACACGCACACACACCATCACACACACACACACCCACCCACACACACCCACACCCACACCCACACACGCGCACCCACGCGAACATACACCAGCACAAACACACAATCACACCCAAACCCCCAGACACGCGCACATACACACACACCCACACCCACACCCACACACACACGCACACACACACACCAACACACACACACACCCGCACACACCCACACCCACACACGCACACGCGCACACACACAACACACAGCACACACGAACAATCGCAAACAACCACAAACAAACACAATCACACGCAAACATGCCCAAGCACACATACACACCCACACACATCCACACATACAGACACACCAACACCCACACACGCGCACACACAATACACACACAAACACAAACAAGCACACACACAAACACAAACGCACAAACACACACACACACACGCCCACACACATACACACCCACGCACGCACGCGAACACACGCACACACACTCACCCACAACCACACCCACACACACGCCCCCACGCATGCACACACACCCACACGCACACGCACACACACGCACACACGCACACAACACACACGACCAATCACACATAACACACTCATAACGTAGACACACAAGCGCACACACCCACACACACACACGCACGCGCACACACACGCACACACAGTCAGTCAGTCACTCATTTACATACACACTTTTTTCCGTCGGTGGCTAGGCAGTGGGACTGCGCTGGCGAGTAAAGCGAAACGCTGCAACGTTAGGCGAATTCAGCCACCATGCAGGAGGCTCACATACACACACGCACGCACACACAGGCACGCACACACAAAAACACGCACACACACCCACACGCACGCCACGCGCACACGCACACACACACACCCACACCCGCACACACGCGCACACACAACAAACACAAACAAAGACAAACCAGCACGACCAAACACAAACACACACACAAAACACACACAACCACACACCCACACCCACACACACACCGACAAACACCGGCGCACACACACACACATCCACACACACGCGCCCACACACAGTACACTAACAAACACAAACAGCCACAAACAACATCAAACACTCACAAGCACACACCTTCACACCCACACACACGCGCACACACACGCACACCCACGCACACACGCACGCACTCACCCACTCACTCATACACACGCGCGCACTCGCACACACACACACATCCAAACGCATCCATATCCACAAGCACGCGCACGCCCAAACAACACACACAAACAATCACAATCACAAACACACACACCAACACACAACCACACACAATCTCTTACAGACACACACACACCCACACCCACACACGCGCACACACGCACACCCACACAAGCGTGCACACAACGCACAAACACTTACACATACACAGCCACAAACAAACACGTACACGTGCAACCACACAAACACGCACACACACACATTCATGGACACACACACACACACCCACACCCACACGCGCACACACACAATACATACAAACACACACAAACAAACACAGCCAAACACGAACACCCACACACACCCACCTACCCACACAAACGCACACAAACACATTTGTGAAGCCGGCGGCGCAGAGGGACCTCATGCGCCGTCGTCAGGTGGAGGTGCTAATTGCGAACGAACTTAGTCGAACGCACCATGATGAAAGAGTGCAATCACGGCCATGCAGACAAGTGGTGAAAATGGGAGGCGCTGGAATACCGCAGTGCAGCGGCCCAAACAGCCGAGGAACATAAGCTCGACGCGCGTAGTTTGAAGCGCAGGCAACAGTCTGGTGCTAATTGCAGCTTCAAGAAGACATCAACGAAAAGGAACGGTACGGCTGCCAGGCCAACCAATACGGTGGCGGTGCGTGCGTGGAGTAACGTGATAGAGCACCGCCATCACCCTTGCAGCAAGCAAGTAGCAAAAAGAACGACCGTGCCACAAGGTGAACGGTCGACGTGATGAGCTACCACGCGGTCGAGGCTGGCGTGATCTTTAACGGTGAAAACGAAGCTGAACGCGGGAGGCCTCGCATGGGTGCAGGACAGAGCGAGCGTGGCCGAGCGTGCAGTGTCGTCGCCAGGGTCAAAACAGCAGCAACCCCACAGCCAGAACCGCCACGGGACACAAACACGCACACACACACGCACACACAAACACACACCCACCCACACACACACATCCACACCCACACACGCGCACACACGCGCACACACACACACACCCAACACACAAGCACACACACAAACACAAACAAACACGAACATACCAACACACACACCCACACACGCCCACACCCACTCACATGCGCACGCACACAACACATACACACAAACCAACACAAACAATTACAAACACACAAACACACAGACACATACACACGCACACACACCCACCCGCACACGCACACACCCACACCCACACACACACTCTCACACACAACACACACACACACGAGGAAACCCAACCAGACACAAACACACACACAACAAATATGCACACACTCCCACAGACACACCCACACCCACACACAAACACACCCAGACCCACACCCACACCCACGCGAACACACAAGGCACACACAAACAAACACAAACAAACACAACCAACCACACACACACGCAAACACACACCCACACACACAAACACACACCCACACGCACACCCACCCACACCCACGCACACACACCCACACCCATACACACGCGCACACAAACACACAAACAAACACAAACAAACACAAATACACACACAAACACACGAACACACAAACACCCACACCCACACACACACACCTATTCCCACACGCGCGCACACGCAACACATAAACTTACACAAACAAGTGCAATCATACACAAACAAATACGGGCACACAAACACACACACACACACCCACACACACAAAACACACCCACACACAACACACACGCACCTACACCCACACACACACCCACACCCACACTGACGCGCACACACAACACTCATACGAACACAAACAAACACAGACCCGTACCCACACCCACACGCACCCACACATACACACGCACACCGGAACACACGCGCACACACAACACACACATGCACGCACAAACACACATACGCACAAACACAAACGCATACACCAACACACAAACACACAGACACCCACACACACCCACATACACGCAACACGCACAAACACGCACACGCACTCACACACCCACACACAAGCACACAACACACAGCATCACAAACAATCACAACCACACACAAACACGCACACCCACGCACACGCGCACTCAAAACACATACACACCCACACACACACCCTGACGCACACCCACACACAACACACAACATACACAAACAGCACACAACACACAAACGAGCACACGCACACACAAAACACACCCACCCACACACACCCACACACAGAACACACACACACACCCACACAGACACCCACACACACAAGACACAACACACACAAGCAATCGCACTCCCACGCACAAGCGCACCGACACCCACAAACGCGCACACATACACACGGCACACACAAACAACCACACACCGACATAGACAAGCACAAACACACAAACACACATCCACACACACCCACACCCACACACACGCATACGCACATCCACACACACCCACACCCACACACACGCGCACACACCCACAACACACACTAACAAACACACGCAAACACAAACACACACCCACACACCCACACAAACACACCCACACCCACACACACGTGCACACACAAACACATACACAAACACAAACAAACCACATACACACATCCACACATACACAGGCACGCCCACGCACACGTGCACACAATTCAAGCACAAGCACAGACCAACACACACAACCACAATCACACACAAACACACGCATCCACACACACGCACCCACACACAGCATACACACAACGCACAACACACATACACCCACACACACACACATCCACACGCATACACGCAACAGACAACGCACACAAACAAACACAAACGATCACACACACACGCAAACACACAAACACACAAACCCACACACCCACGCACACAAGCCTCTCACCCCCACGCACGCAGACACACACGCACACACCCAAACGCAAAGCACCCATGCACACAACACTACACACAAACAACCACACGCACAACCAATCGCACACACAACACACACCACATACACGCACACACACGCGCACACACAACGCACAACACACCCACACCACACACACAAACACACAAGCACACACGCACACACCACACACACGCACAGCACGCATACCCAGACATGCACACCCACACACGCACGCACACACACACACACCCACAGCCACACACACATCCACACAACCACACCACACGACACACAAACAAACACAAACAAGCACAAGCAAACACACTCCCACACGCACGCACTGACAACACAACACACACACACCCGCACACACACACAAAACACGATGCACACACCCGCACATACATTCTTTTTACGTCGGCGGCTAGGCAGAGTGACTGCGCTGGCGAAAGGGACCCGCACACATACACATTTGCACACATTTGCACACACAAGCAAACACGCACACACACACCCACACACACCACACACACACCCATACACTCACCCACACACGCGCACACACAGACACACACCCACACACACACACCCACACTCATACAACGCACAGCATACAAACAAACACAATCAAAAACACACACACCGACACATATCACACACACCACACCCATTCACACACACACGCACACACACACGCACACACGCACACCCACACACACCCACACACACCCACAAGCCGCAAAACAGACACGTGAACACACAAAGACACACCCCCGCAGACAACACCCCCCCCACTCACACATACATCCACAGACACACCACACACACCCACACACACCCACACACACCTACACACAAACGAACACACACACACACCCAGGCACACACAACACACAACACACACCCCCACACACACCCACACACACAACACACGCACACCCACATGTACCCACAGGCACACAACACACGACACACAAACACAAGTGCACACACCGACACAACACACACACAACACACAAACAAACACACACAACACAAACACAAGCACACAACCTACACACGCATACACGCAACACACACCACACACACCACACAGCACACAAACAAACGCAACCAACCACAAACAACACACAACCACACACAATCACAAGCACACCCACACACGCCCACACACAACAAATACACACCCACGCGCACACGACACACACGCGCCCACGCACACCCACACGCAGACGCACACACACAACACACAACAACACACACGACAAATCACACACAAACACACGACCCCCACACACACGCCCTACACACAACACACACACTCACATACACAAAACACAAGTACACAACACAAACACGCACCCACAGACACACACACACACTCACGCACGCACTCACAGCCACACAAACACACCCACACACACACACGCACACGCACACCCACACACACAACATACAGCACACACACCAACACACAAACACACACAAGCACACACAACACAAACACAAACACAGGACCCACATACACACTCGCACACACACACACCCACACGCACACACCACATACAGCACACAACATTCACAAACAGACACACGCAAGCACACAAATGCAACCACACACAAAGACACGCACACCCACACACACCAACACACAACACACCCACACACACACACGCACCCACACACACGCACACACACCACCCACACAAACACACCCACACACACCCACACACAGCACACAACACACAAACAAACACACAAGCATCCACACACGCACACGCACACACAACACACACACACACGCACCCACACACAGCATAAGTATACAACGAACACACACCCACACACGCACACGTACACACACACCCACACGCGCACGCACAAACATCCACACACACCCACACCCACACACCCACAGCACACAGACAAAAACAAACACACATATACACTTTCGAGCCGGCGATTCAGATGATCCCCAGGCGCGGACGGCAGATGGAAGTGCCAATTGCGATCGTCGTCTGTCTAAGGCACAGTGCAAGAACCATGTGCACTGTCAAATGCAGCGATGGGTGGTTTGAAGGGAAAGCTGCAGATACACACACCCACAGACAACACACAACACACACGCACACCCACACGCACACACACGCACACACACACACCCACACACGCACACCCGCACACACAACCAAACACAAACAAGCATACACACACCCACACACACAACACACACAGCACACACACATAAGCATCCACAGAAACAGCACACACACGCCTACACAAACAACACACACATCCACGCAGACCCACAGACAACACAAACAACACATAACACAAAAACAACCACACACTCACACTCCCCCCCACACACACACACGCATGCACACACACACCCACTCACACGCACACGCACACAAACAGCACACAACACACAAACAAACACAAACAAAAACACGCACAACCACGCAAACACACCACACAACACAAACACCCACACACATAAAACACAACACACAAACACACGCAACCAAACATAATCACACCCACACACACACGACGCAACACACAAACAAACACAAGCAAACACAACCAAACACACACACCCACACACATACAACACTCAAACCACACGCACACAAGCAAACACAAGCACACGAACACAAACACACACACACATCCGCGCACACACATCCACACAAACCAACACACACAACACACAGCACACAAATACATACACACAAACACAAACAATCACACATGCACACACATACACCCACGCACAGCACGCACGCGCACATCCACACACAGCACACAGCACACAGCACACAAACAAACACAAACAAACACATACAAGCACAAACACACACACACAACACCCACACACATCCACACACACGCACACCACACACACCCACACACTCACCCACACACTCATACACACACACGTACGCACCCACAAACACGCACCCACACACACAACACACAACACACACAAACAAGCACAAACAAACGCAGACACCCACCCACCCACACACACAACACACACAACACATCACCCACACTCGCACACACACACACACACACACACACGCACACAACACACAACACACACACACACGCACAGACACCCAAACACACAACACACAGAAACACGGGTCCTGGGGTCCCGTCGCTTGGGCTGGCACCTGTGCTTACGCAGGGGTTGGGGCCAAAGCTGCCCGTGTTGGCCCCCGCGGCCAACGCGCCTGGGAGTTATCCATCCTAGACTTTTCGGGAGGCCCTTGTGGCCTGCCACTCGGCCCAAGTGCTGAGTGGCCCTGGCGCCCAAGCGGTGCCGCACGGTGACGCGGGGACACGTTGCCAACTGGCCGAGTCGGCGGGTAGGCCCCACGGGGTTCCCTGCCGTCCTCTTATGGCGTTCCAGCACACACACACGCATACACTCACACCCACACACACACACAAGACACGGCACGCACAAACAAACACAAAGAAGCACACACACCCACGCACAACACACACGCACACACCCACACTCACCCACACACACACACACCCACACACAGCACACACTACACAACACACACAAACAAACACAAACAAACACACACCCACACACACAACACACACCACACACACCCACACAACCCCCCCCTACACACCCACACCCACCCACACACAAACAAATACACACCCACACCCACACACAACACTCACAACACTCACAACAAACACACACGTACACCCACACACAACACACATCCACACACACACGCAGACGCACACATACACCCACACACACAAACACACACACACAACACACAAACGAACACAAACAAACACAGTCATACCCATACACCTGACACACACAGCACACATAAACAAGCACAGACACACACACACACATGCACATACATCCCCACCTGGGGGGGGGCAAGTCGGCCAGTGGGGCCAGTGCCACGCCAGTGGGGATGGTGATCGGCGAAACGCGGAAACCACTGGCACAGCCTTCCGACGAAGGCATATCTACACCACCACCGTGCCAGACCAGGGCCATCCTGGGCCGTAGGACGGTGTATAGACCCTCCTGGCTCGGCCAGGAGGGCGTATACACCAGCCCAGGGCCCAGGATGGCCCTGGCCTGGCACGGTGGTGGTGTATAGATGCTTTCTGTGTAAGCCTGCCCCTACCCAGCGGCGCCCTCGCCTTAGGAGGGCGGCGCCCTCGCGCAGGGAGGGCGGTGCCCTCCCGGCAGCAGCGGCCGCGCGCAGGCCGCCTCCGAGATCCGCGTCCGGGAGCAGGCGGACTTCGAGGCCGAGGAGCGCGAGCTCACGGAGGCCCGGCCGCCCGCGCGGAGACTGCGGCGCACCTCTCGGGCACGGGGGCGGGAGGGAGCTGAAAGACTCGCCTCCTGCTCCCTCCGTCCTCCTCCGCCTCCTCCTCCTCCTCGATCCTCCTCTTCCTCCTCCTCCTCCTCCTCGATCCTCCTCTTCCTCCTCCTCCTCCTCCTCCTCCTCCTCCTCGTCCTACATCCAGTACCTGTTGCACAACCCCAGCGCGTTTCTCATTAGCGACGATGGTCTGGAGCCGTTCGATCCCTATGATGAGGACATAGTTACCATTGTCCCCCCGTCTGCTCACAGAGCGCCGTTACCTCATGGTGCTCGTTCTGTTGCGCACTCAGGCTCTTCTTCTGCTGGTGGCCTTGCCGCTCGCCCTGAAGGAGCTCCTCCTCTTCAAAGTCTGCCAGGTGCTCTTCATGACCACGATGCCCCTGCTCAAGCACATCCTTCTGAAGCCGCTGGACACCAAGGGGCGTCTGATGGATTGAGGCCCACGGAGGCTGACACTGCTCCAGTGGCGGGTCCTTCGCTTGCTGCCGCTGAACAGACGGACGACGAGGAGATGACCGACACTACCCGCTACGCGGTGAAGCTAGTGTTGCGGGAGATCAATCGGAGCACTTCAAACCCTTCTTCGGCCTTGCTCTCGGCTGCATCATCGCCCTTCTCGTCAGCGCCTTCTGCATCTACCTCTCCCTCATCTCGATTTCCGCTTTCGGGCTCTCAGATGCTGGCGGTGATGGCGTTCCTTGAGGACTTGGGCTTACACCAAAGTGAGATGCAAGCGGCGTTGCACCTCCTCCATGAGCCTGACGTGTTTCTGGATGCTGGTGATGCTCATCACGAAGTTCCTGAGGTGTCTCTTGAGGCCGAGGCAGTCGCAGCCTTGGAGTCTGGCGCTTCCGACCCGGTGTACCTGGACGTTGCCGCCACGCTCTTCCTATCCCCGCTGTCGGGCCACCTGTTGCACTGCCTGCCAGCCTCACCGATGACGACCTCGGCGAAGCCACGTACGGCGCTCCCGTCGAGATGAACCCCGACGCCACCCTGTCCGCCGACGCCGTGCCTGTGAGGCCCGAGGCGCGGCCGCGCGGCCCTGGGGCGTGAGGATAGACCTTCGCTCAGGGACGCTCGCTCCTCCTCGTCCTCGTCCTCGTCCTCCTCCTCCTCCGCAAACTTTTTTTTTCCGTATAGATATCTCCTCCCTGTCGCACTTCAAAGACATTACGCAGCTTTCGCGGAGGTCCGCGCGAGTTTCCTGGGTCGGCGCTGGACCCCTCTGGCAGCGCCTCTGGCGCCGCCCCTGGCGCGCTCCGTGCGCCGGGGAGGGGGCTCCATCGCCGATCCCAGGGATCCTCGCGGACCCCTGAACGTGTACGTTCATGGTGCTTTCTCTTCTTCTGCGCGCCGGCCCCCGCCCGCCCACTCGCCTCGAAGACCTTGTCCTACCACTGTCCGAGAGCGGCGCCGCAGGGCCGCCCAACCGACCCGATCGGTCGGATTGCGTTCCGATGCGCGCGGGCGTCGACCAGCCCGATTTGGAGCGGCCTGGCGGCGTGGCACAGCCTGGCCATCCCTGGTGGAGAGGCCGCAGTAACGGGCTCTGGGAGGCTCTTCGGGCAGCCTCCTGAAAATGTCGTGAAGGCCCCCTCGGGGGCCTGGAAGGTTGCACCCAGTGGCCTCCAGGACCCGCATGGGACCCCCTCCCCAGGGTGCGTCCTGGGGGATTCCGCGGTCCTTCCCAGAGGTTTCAGATCCTTTCCAGGTGGTTTCCGCGTGCCCGCATTGGGTCTCCATGAGAGCCTCGAGGGGGGCTTCAGCTGAGGTTTCAGGGGTGCCTCCAGGAATTCCGCGCGGCTTCTAGGCAGACGTTCCAGGGCAGTGGCAGTGCGATCTGATTCGGAGTGCTGGCTGATTCGTGAGAGGTGAGAGGTGGCCCTTGGCTCTGCACTTCGTTCAGGGGGAATAACACATGTAAGTTCCAGAAAGCCTCCAGGCCCCCCAAAGGTTGGGGGGCAGGGAACCTTGACCAGACCAACGAGGAGGGAGTTCCCTACCTCTGGAGTAGCCCCACCTGAGAGTATGTTAACCTCGATCCACTCGTCCCTCTCGAGGAGGCTCTATCCCCCGGGGGGGAAAGCCCCAACCAAGCCAAGATCGCCTCCTCCTCTTTTGTCAGGCAAGTGCTGCCCCCTCCTCGGTGCGGGGCCGGCGGCGAGCGCCGCGGGTGCCTGGAGATACTCTGCACGCCCGCGTGCCTCGTGCTCGGGAAGTCTCGGGCTGTCTGCTGTGCCTGGCATCCTGCCCCGACCGGGTTGAGGGCGGCGGAATTCAGCCAGAGACACCAGAGGAAGGAAGGAGGAGCGATGATGGTACGCTTCAAGAAGGCACAGGCCTTGCAGTCAGTTCCGTTGACCCTGAGAACAGAGCAGCCTGGGCGCAAGATGCGGAAGGGAGACGGGAGTCAGGCGCAGCGGCGGCTTCAAGCCGAGGGCGAGAAGCGATTGCAGCCATGGGTACCAGCAGAGCGAGAAGCAACGAAACCGATGCGCTCCAAGATTTCCAGTTGTTCTCGTTGTCGCGCGCCGCCGGGGGCGAGTGGCCGCGCACGACCAGCCGCGGGGCCTCTAGAAACTCCAGAACTCTCAAAACGTTTCCTGAGCCAGTCGTTTCGTGGCATGAGTCTCGTCCTACAGCAGACGGCAGGTGATTGACACCCTGAAGCGCGCCACTGCCATCCTGGAGCGGGAGATGGCGAAGAGCGCTGGTGCGTCAATGCTGCAGCTGAAGAATGCGGGTACCCTGACCCAGGCCGTGCGCGGGACGGGGAGAACCAATAGGATGAGGCGGCGGTTGCGGCGGGAAAGAGGATGAGGATATGTGGGAGAATGAGGGGAAGAGGTGGACCATTGTAAGGAAATAGGATATGCATTGGTAGGGAAGGTGTATCATCAACGTCCCGTTCCTCTGTTCTGCTGCGGCTACCTTGGTGATTATGGTGCCCTGAGTAACATTCGCTCAGCTCAAGCGTTTTCCAGCAGTGCAACGCTACATGTAAAACATCATGTGCAGTCGAGAATGGTTAGTAGGTCGACCCTGCCAATCAAGGGTACCCTTGTGTCCTGTGTTTCGCGACCCATGCCCTCTACATTCCTGTGGCAATATTGCCCTCGAAAGGGTTTTGTGTCCTCTCGCGTGTCCTATCCACTCAACCCCGACTGTATGTTTTTCAGCGATTCTGGCTCTCTGGAGTTCCCCCTGGAGCGTCCTCTTGGAGCTCTATTGTGGCTTTTTGAGGCCATCTTGGGCCGTCTTGGGGCCATCTTGAGCCGTCGTGCGCCTTCCCGTGGCTCTCGGGGCCGTCTTGAGGCCACCTTGAAGCCTTCTGGGGCCGTTTCGGGGACATCTTGGGGGCGAAGGAGGCATGCGCAATTTCCGAACAGTTTGGTGGGAGTACGCGAGCTCCCCCCACCACTTCCTAGCCAATACTGGCCGATTCGCCAATCGCCCTCCAGAATGTTTCTACACGGCACAGGGCCCGCAGGGGGCCCGCCATCGTCTTCACGCTTCGCACATCCCCACCAGCCCATGCAGAAACGATCCCCGAACGATCTGCACTCGGGGGCAGAAAAGATGGGGGTGATGACTAGGGGGGGGTGGATATCATGGCGGGGGCCATGATATTTCCCCAGATTTCATGGCGCCTCTACTTACTTCATTACGTCCCTGGCCCCCCCGCTGGGCCGCGCACATGCCGCTGGTCATGATTTGCACCCCCCCCTCTTGGACACCCCCCTCTTGGCCGCTCCCGATGCACTGATCAGGGAAATAAAGGACCATGCAGTGGAATAGAGAGGAGATGCAGCCGGCAAACCGAAGCCCGGGGCGAGCCTGATCAGACCCAGGAGTCCACGAGACAATCTTCGTGGTCCCTTTGGTCTGGGAGCATCTTGGTGGCTTCTCGAGGCCACCCTGGGGCACTCTTGGGGCCGTTTTGGAAGCCTGTAGGGCTCTCTCGGAAGCCTCGGGGGCTTTCTTGGGGCTCTCTCGGAAGCCTCGGGGGCCTTCTTGGGGCTCTCTCGGAAGCCTCGGGGGCTTTCTTGGGGCCATCTTGGGGGACATCGATCAACAAGGAGGGTTCCCTCATGGCTGCCCCTCGGGAGCTCGCAAGATCGCTCTTCAAGCTCTCTTGGGGCGCGGGAGGGCGCTCTTGGAGCCGCCTCGCGGCCTGATATGGCCCTTCTCGGGGTTCTCTTGAGGCGATCTTGGAGCCACCGTGAGGCTTCAGATCGGAAGCGAAGCAGCGAGACGGCAGCGAGCATTCAGGCACCTACGGTTGTGATCAAGGATTTAGGCATTTCTGGGGCCGTCTTTGAGGGGCTTCGAGGCCACCTGGAGCACTTTTTGGGTTGTCGCGGGGCCTCTAGGGGGCATGCTGGAGACCCTGCGGATCCGATTTGCCCCCGCCCCCCCCCCCCTGCGCCATGCCATCTTGGATGCCATCTCATGGAATCTGGCGCCATCTCATCTTGGAGCCGCCGTCCTTTGATGACCCCAAGAGCCTCCCGTGGATGCCACCGTGGCCAGTCTGGCCCGAGCCCTGCCCGTAGTCTGCGCCTGCTGGCGTCGCTCCCCCCTGGCCCTCCCGCCACCGACTCCTGGGCGAAAGCTCTCGCCCCTCGCCCTTCCTCCTCGCCCTTCCTCCTCCTCGCCCTTCCTCCTCCTCCTCCTCCTCGCCCTTCCTCGCCCCTTCCTCGCCCCTTCCTCCTCCTCCTCCTCCTCCTCCTCCTCCTCCTCCTCGCCCCTTCCTCCTCCTCCTCCTCCTCCTCCTCTTCCTCCTCCTCCTCGCCCCTTCCTCCTTCTCCTCCTCCTCCTCCTCCTCCTCCTCCTTCGCCCGGCAGCCGCGTGCGCCAGCGCGCCATGGACCCCGCGGAGCGCCCCGCGCCGGAGGGCCCGGGCGGCCCGCCCGCGGCGCCGCCGGGGCCCGAGGAGCACGGCGCCTGGCTGGCGCGGGCGCTGGAGGCCCAGGTCGGGAGGGGAAGAAAGCACACAGACACAAATGCATCGTCGATCCCCCACAACATTCGCAGGTGGATAGACCTCCTACCCTGACACGTCGATTCAGGAGTTGGCCGTTTTCGGTTCGCGAGAGGGCGTCGCGGCCGTCATTTTTTGCGGGTCCAGGTCCGTCGGTTTCGGTCACAGGCCGTTTTCACTAAGGGGAGGTTTACTAAAGGAAGGTTTGTCCACCGCCGAAAAATATGGGAAAAGATGGGAAGTGGGGGGCAGGACAAGAACCCCGAAAATATAGGAAAAAATAGGGGGAATCTTTTTAGTTGTGCGTGTTTGTTTGTGTGTCCCGGGGTCCCTTCGCCAGGCCGCGGCCGCGTGCGCGGAGCTCGAGCGGCGGCACCGGGAGGGCCTGGCGCTCCTGCGCGCGGACCTCGCCGCCGCGCACGGGGCGCTGGCTGCGGCCCTCGGGGCCCGGCTGGCGCAGCCGCGGGCGCAGCCGCGGGCCGCCGCGCCCGAGGGCAGCGGCGGCTGCGCCCCAGGGCAGCCGGGGCTCCTCCGCAGCGGCGGCTGCGCCCCAGGGCAGCCGGGGCTCGTCAGCTCTGGGCAGCCGGAGCAGGCCGGCGGTGCGTGGACGGAGGTCGTCTCCACCGAGAGGCCCTCGGGAGGATCGCAATGGGTACGGGAGCAGTGGGTACAGAGTCCAGCAGCCCTTCTGGTTCATTCTGAGCAGGGTTCGTCGTCGGCGTCGCCGCGGTTGCTGTCCACTCGAGACAGAAGACCGCCTGCCCAACAGCTGCCGCTGTCGGTTTTGGACAACATTCGCTGTTGGGCGTCATGCCCATGTTCTTCGTACCCGTTTCGGGCGTTCAAAGGCCCGAGGGCTCCGTGTCTGGGAAGACGGAGCCGACCTGCGCTGTGCATGGGGCGGGCTCCAGCGAGCACTCGTATCAGCTGCCGGGGGCAGTGCCGCGGATGGAGGACAAGGTCAGTGCTGGCTTGGGAGGCCCAAGCGAGAGGCGACCGAGCTCGGGCTCTGAGTCGACGCAAGAACATGATGATGACATAGGCACGAGAATTTCGCAAAAGCTCTTCGAGTCCAGGGGCAGCAATTTCAGCGCGGAGCCCTTGAGCAGTTGGAGAGACTTCGTGAATAGCTCCTACTTCGAGATCATCGTCGTCACCTGCGTCGCGCTCAATTGCATTTTCATAGCGCTGGAGCTCCAGAACGAGGGCTTCAAGCTCGGTCATGCTCTCGAGTACCCATTGTACGAGGATCCTGATCCGTGGACGGGAGCCAGTGGTTTCTTTGACGCCATGGGCTTGCTCTTCGGCGTCGTTTTCGCGGCTGAGCTAATCCTTAAACTGATGGTTTTGCGCAGAAAGTTCTTCGCTTCCTGGTGGAACGGGTTTGACCTAGTGGTCTTTCTTATCTGGCTTACGGAGACACTCTTGTCTGCTGCAGGGGTGAACCCCGTCTACCTACGATTTGCGCGCCTGGTCCGGCTGTTGCGTCTGGCAAGGTTCCGCCACATCAACTCATTCGACTCGCTGTTTCTCATGTACACTTCGCTCATCAACAGTCGTACCATTTTGTTCTGGTCCTGTGCTTTTCTGTTCGCGCTCCAGATCCTTTCTGCGTTGTTCCTGAGCCAGATACTGCACACGATGTATTTCGGGAATGACAGCAATCCGGAGGCGGAGCAGCAGGCCGTCTTCAGGTATTTCGGCTCCTTCTCGCGGGCGATGCTGAGCACGTTTCAGATGGCGCTGTCAGGCTCTTTCCCAATCTATCGGGTCTTGATAGAGCACGTGAGCGAATGGTTCATCTTCGTATGCATTTTTTACCAGCTTACCGTGGGGTTGGCGGTCGTCGGAATCATCAATGGTATTTTTATACAAGAGACGTTCAAAGCTGCGTCCAGCGACGATCTCATCATGATGCATGCAAAAGAAAGCAAGATGCGAGCCCACAGGAATAACATGACCAAGCTTCTTGCGGCCGGGGACATGAACCCCGAGAATGGACAGCTCGACCAGGCAGAGTTCATCCAGCTGATGAACAATGATGATGTCAAACTGTGGTTGTCCTCGTTGGGTCTCGATCCGTCTGACGCAGCTGCCTTGTTCACTTTGCTTGATGCGGACAACGAAGGCACAGTCAGCAAAGCCGAGTTAATCAACGGAATTGCGAGTTTGCAAGGGCAAGCCAGAAGCTTGGATGTTCACCTTTGTATGCGCAGGCAGAGCGATCTCATCCGTCTGCTCTCCTCGATTGTGCCAGAACGTGGGTCACAACGTGGCGGTCGGGATCACGGGTCACGTGACTAGCCTTCGCAGACTGAGTCAATGCCGAAGGAGAATTGCCAGAACGGCTCGGTACTGGCAGCAGCAGTTGGTTGTGGTCCGCGCATCTCCGTCTTCGTTTCCATTCATTCACCCTTTCTCTGATCCACCTTACCCCGTCTGGATCATTGCGCCACTGCACCAACGATCTGGCTGCGACACATGCTATTGTGTACAGGATCGCGTGCCCCTGCTTCAGTTTTATGATGGGGCACGCTTAGTGTCGTGACTCCGACTGCTAGGCCATGGTAACAGTTTTCAACGCACTCTTGAATGCTCTGTTCCACCCAGGTGGAATAGTCAATGCACCCCTTCCGCAGCACCATTCTTTCGCCCTGCCTGCTCTCTCTCCTTGCACGCGCTGTCCGTCTGTTGTGCTGACTGAGTTCTTCTGCTCCCGCAGCTATAGACTTTGGCTCTAGGGAAACGGAAAAGGAGCGAGTCTGCGGCGCGCTCGCGTGCGTCGGCCGGCGGGCCGGCCTCCTCCCTTCAGTGTTACCAAAGTGTATGATTGACGGCATTATCCCTTCTTACCCAGTCATGTGCGGAGCCCACTGACCATGAAATATCATCGGAACATCCTGCAGGGATTGTGAATATCCAAGCAAAAGATTGGTTATCAGCCAGGACGACGGCCCAGCCGTTCGCTTCGCAGAGCATGGGATCTCAAGAAGGACCGCTCCGGCGAACAGAGGATCGAAGACCTTCCGAGCGTAACACAAGTATAAGCGCCTGAACGAGGCGACAGAATCATCTTAACCTTCCCAGTAAGAAAGCATCAGAGACTATGTTCGGCTTAACAGAAGGGGATTCATCGGTTGATTCAGTGACGAGATCCAGAGAACAACACTCGAGCGGAAGGTATGGCACAGCCAAAACTTCCGTCGAGGGATCCTTTGAGTTGGTGTCGGCACACCCTGGCCTTCAGCCGTCGATCGACGTAGATCTCGACATGGAAAAGTTGGTGGATCGTATCCCCATCGAACCGTCAGGCGCCGAAAGTTTGGGCGCCGAGCATGCAATACAGTATACGTTGTATGGACAGAGTGAGGATGCGAGCGATTTACAATCTGAAGGAGATAGCTCCCATTCGATAGAAAAGAACGAGGTATATGCCCGATTCCACACCTCGCCTGGTCGGTCGCGTCATCTCGATATTCTCCCTGACCTGTGTGTCGGTCTCGCTCCTGACCGTATAACGATAGAGGCAAGTCAGAAACCATCCTTGATTCGGACGATGACTTCGAAGACGGAGAGAGCCCTAATCAAGGTGAGTGCTCATCGGCGCAGCCGATATCGAGCTACCCCGACGCAGTGCGTGCAGTGAGAAATGCGCGAGAAATTACAGGCACGACCCCCCGTCCGCTAACGAAGAAATCGAAGGGTGAGGATGGTGACTTGAATACCTCGCCTTTTATTGCAGGGTTTTTACAGACCAGACTTCTCATTGCCCAGAACAGACAGAGATATAATGCCAGAACTTGATGAGCTCGTAATGCAGGACGAAAGAGACGACCTGGCAATGAGCATGGACGTTGACACCATCAAGAGGGGCGTAAGAACGAGAGAACAACACACGCCTACCCTAAGCAGCGAAAGGGGGCGCTCCAGTAAGGTCCCCAGGGCCGGGCGTTCCAGTTCCAGAGGGTCTAATGCCTTTGATTCGCCGCGAATGTCATCGAATGGAACCGCCGGCAGCTTCTCGATGCGGGGGGGCTACTGGGGCGCCGGGCCAACGTGCCCCACTCGGGCGGAGAATCGGTGCCTGGGGGAAGCGCGCGAACCGGGGAGTTCCTGTCGAAGGCCAGTGTGTTCTCACTGTTCGAACGTTTGCCCCGCGCGTAGTCTAGCATGGTTTTGCGAAGAGTGTATCGCGATGGAAGAGCACAGTTGCCATCGTATCGCGATTCAAGCGTGGGCGGAAAGAAGCAGACAGGATCGAGAGCAGCTGAGGGCTGCGAGTGCGCATGTGCAGCAGATTATCTCTGAGGCACATGATAATAAGAAGGCCGCCGAAGAGGCTCAGCGACACCTTGCGGTTTCCGAGGCTGACAGACAAGGAATGGCGCAAAATATGGAGCATGAGAACGCCATCATTGAGGAGAACGCGCAGAAACTGTTGCAGCATGCTGAGGCCAACGCGGCAGGCGTTACAGACGAAGCACACCGGCGCCTTGCTCAAGAGGACCTTGAAAGATTGAGAATCCAGAGCATGGCCGAACAACTGGCGTCGGACTCTCAGCAGAAGGCCGAAAGAGAGAAAGCTGAATGCAGAGAGAAGGCTGATGCTGCGAGGAGGGGGTGAGAGAGGGGGGCCCGAGAACAGGCGGCGCGAGAAAATCGGGAGCTCTGCAATCAACTTGAAGCTGCTAGACTGGAGGCCGACAGAGTGAAATCTGAGGCACTGCGAGCCCTTCGAGAACAGGGGCAGAAGACTCAGGCAACCAGAGAAGATGACCAAAAAAGAATGGCCGATGCCCGGGGCCGTCTGAAGGGGCACGCAGGAGAACATATAAGAAACAACGTTCTTGCAACTCGGGCCGTAAGCGAGGAAAACAGAAATTTGAGGTCTGACCTTGAGCAACGACGGATCGAGAAAGAGGTCGATTCAACACCGGCACAGCCGGCGCATGTTGAGCCGCCTCCTCGCCCAATCGATGCTCGCCCTATTGGGGCGCCTGGCGCCTTGTAAGCCCGAGCGCGATCAGGCGCTCCGAATCAGGCCTGTCGCATTTGTACACAACCTTCGACCGAGGTATGCAAGGGTTGTTTGAAGCACGCGTGCAATGACCACCTGGGTATGGGTGCCAAACGCTGTGGTGAATGCGTTTGGAGGAAAGCGCCAGGATATCATGGTGACTGCGAGGAGAGGGAAGAAAGCCGAGGCATACCTGATGCTCAGAGTGCAGGCAGTGATCCTGATGGGAAGGCACCGAGACACTCGGCTTCGCCTCAGGATGTTGAACCCGAACGCCAGATGAGCAATCTTGCCGACGTTATGGGCGTGCCAGTTTTCGAATCAGAAAATCGGGTCTCGGCGAGGTGCCGATGCTGACTGCTCCGTCGATACCGACGCTTTCTCTTGCAAAATCGCATTTCACTCTTGGGCCGGCTGTCGAGAAGACCTTGGGGGCAAGCGAAGGTCCGACGCGGGGGGGCGCCCAAGGAACGAACCCTGGAAATGTCCTTTTTCAATGCGAAGATATCGGACCACCCTAACAACCTCGACTTGCCTGGGCACCTTCCTTTCACCATCGGCCCAGCCGCTTCTGGTGAAGGAGGTGGGGGCCCGGGAGGCCGCGTCGACGATCAGAGAGACGATCGGAGTGCAGCCCCCCGGCGCAGGCATGATTGTTGCGTCGCAGTTTGATGAGGCGGGTAGGTCCAAGCCGACTAGAGGCCCTCCAGGGACACCTGGTGGCGATGGCGACCCGGGCCGAGATGGCGGTGGTGGGCCGAATGATCGCAGCGACCCTACATGGCGGCCATTTCGCGCCAACCAAGTGGACGTAAATAGGAGAAGTCTTGGACAAGATAAGGAACTAAACTTGCTCGATATACCGAGTGTTCAGACACTCCGAGAATGGGACAACGTTGCATGAGAGCGGTAGCTGGATCATGGCATGACGTTCGCGCGGCATAGACATGGGTCAGCGAAGCAATGCGCCCTGATGTGCCCGAGGAGAATCTCAGAGACTCAGGGGCATTGATGCGCCTTGACATGATGATCGCCGCAAACCTGCTCGAGAAATTCGCAAAGATGAAGCGCAGCCGACGTTTGTCGGTGCAACGTGCCCACTTCCTGTCGCGAGCCAATCGCGTGGAACATTCGTGTCATATAGATGGACGTCTCTTAACGGGTCGAAAAATGATGCGAGCCATGTGCGCTTGGTGTTCTGTCAGGTCGGAGAGCGGACAACGCGGGCCATTTATCGACGAAAGCCCGATCAGGACTTATATTATTTTCATAGCGAATGGATGGAGCGGTGCCACGAATTGTACGGTGCCAGGGAACCGTTTGATGAAATGAAGGCTTCAATACATGCACATTTCTATGAACAGATCAGACAGGTCCCTAGGCTGTATGCAATGCAGTGGTATGAATTGTCAACATATCCTCCAGGCACGGGCATGCGAACTTAATAACGGCTCTTGCTCCAAGTAGAATCTCTCATGATGCGGGACAGAGAGCAGTGGGCAATCTCTGAACGTGAGTCGACCCTCAATTCTAGAAATAGGGCGGAAAGAGGGCCTTTGCTATGGCAGCAACAGTCCATCGACTAGGACTGCCCGCGGATAAGTTGGCAAGCGGAAGAACGAATGGTGAGACAACCTGCAAGTTCGTAAAGCAAGGTGAGAATTGCCCTGAAGCAGGACAAGGTTGCCCCACCGGCACGGCCGGGGGCGCACCGGTGGCACGCGCCGGGGGCACCTGCCGCACCGGCGCCTGCCGCGCCGGCACGGCCGGGGGCGGGCGGCGATATTCGTGCCGCCGGCGGAAAGAGCGATCGCAGAGGCAGAAGTATTAGGTCTGCGAGTAGAGGCCCTCGAGGAAAGGGCCCGCCTCGCTCCTCGGCTCCATCGAACAAATTCGGCAACTCGAACGCGACGCAGTCGCGAACGAGAGGTCAGTCGGAAGTCTCGCTAGAACGCCAAAGCAAAGTGGTGTGCTGCGCGTGGTCGCGAGACCCTCGCAATTGCAAGGGCCCTCGGAATGGGTGCTAAAAGCAGCGCGGAGGCTTGACCGATGCCGAGAAAATCAAACGCGATCAATGCGAGGAAGCGCAGCTCAAAGCTGGCAAGTCTTTGGGGTGCCAGAGAACTTCTCGGCGAGCTGATTCTGCAGCTGCGAACGCTGGTGATGCTGCGCCAGGCGAGACCCCAAGAAGTGGGGGCTCGAGCAAGAGCCGCGGAAGGAACAGAGGCAAGGGCAAAGGAAGGGGGAATTATCAACCAATTAAGACGTTCACCGAGACAGGAGCTTG